TCTCTCTCTTTTTTTTCATCACATCACATTGCCTAACTATGGGATCGTTATCTTTCGTATGTTCCTTTTCCCATCGTTTATCTCTTTTCTCCTCTTATATGATATCACATTGCCTACCACTGCTTTATCCCTGATGTATCTATCTGCATGATTCGTATGACTTATCACTTATTCAATATTGGCTATGTATTAGTTACGTGGGACACTATACAAAACTGGTAGATCAACGAGACTCTCTCCAAACAAAACGTGTACGTGCCATTTCTCTCATGAAAACCACCAACTCCACTGAATCCCTCACAGATCAATCATCAAAAATTGGAATATTCATCAACATTTATTGTCAATATTTCCAATCTACTTTCCAATAAACCTATACAATTATAATTGTCGTGGAATACCAACCTGATCTTTGGAATCAAAAAAAAAAAATTTCTTTTCACGACAATATGGAAGTATGTGAAAACGTCGCTTGTACTTTTTTAAAAATGTAAAATTTTTTTATTGGTCATATAAATACGTTGATGTGATTTCAAAATTTAATCCTTCTTTTTTCATATCAACTTAAATTTTTTTTTTTTGTAAGCTTACCAGGTTCCACATTCTCTTTCATCATCCGATCTGCAATTTCCAGTAGTTGCTTTGCTGCTTCGGAACAACTCATATACTTCGGAGGGAGAAATTCTTTCCGTCCTCTAAAATTTCTAGTTGACAATTTTACAAAATATAACTTCTGAACAATTTTGCAAAAAAAAACCATTTCAGTTCTGAGAAAAATGCATATAATTTAACTGTATACAGTATAAGATAGGAATAAGGCATCCTTATTGTTACTTCCATTCCTCCAAAGGGATTCGATTGCATTACTAGCTATTATTTTACGTAATTTAAAATAACCGGTTCCCATTGGTGAGAAACTTTTTTAAATCCACAATGAGCATGGTACTGAGGTACGGAAAAAAGTTTTTTAACATTTCCATGAAATATATCACTTCAAAAAATCCTTTCCACAACAAATGCTCTTTCACAGCTGCACAAAATCAAAACTCTAAAGAAATAAAATTGAAATAATACAAACCTCATCATATCTTTTACCGTTTGCTCCTTTACTTTGATATCTGAAATATAAAAATTAAAATATCAGGGCAGAACCATCACAAAATTTTCAGTAATTACTATCATTAAAAGAAAGATAAACATTGCAGTTTTACGAAGTATATGAATAATTGCTGACCTAATAAGCACAATGTATGTAGTCCTCGTTTTCTATTTTCTGCAATTTTGAAGTAGTAAGAATCCGGATGCCAATTTTCTTCCCAAAAAACAATGGAAATCATTTCACCAAATCTATACAACTGAAACGGAGACGGAAATTAAGGGGTTAAGATTAATGCAGAAAAATGATTTCGCAGAAGCAAAGCAAAGTTTCGAACTCATGTAAAATTTCGCATCATTCTACGGATAATTGAAATTTTGATACTTTCTGAATACCTGCAGACCGCAACATCCGACAGCATTGATGATAGAAGCATTGTGCACAATTTCCACATTAACACCTACTTTTCGAGCAGTTAGAACTAAACTCGTATGTGTTGTAGCACCAAAAGGATCACCAACTACTAACAGACATACATCCAAATCAAATGCTTCATCTAATATAGTATCTGCAAAATCTCATGAAAATGCTTAAAAACAATACATTGTTTGTCTCTTACTGTACATACTAGTGTTGGTAAAAAATTAAAACTTCCTAATGCTATTATTTTATAGCAATTAAATATTCGAAAATAAAAATTATAGCGTGATGAAAAATAAAATCACGTCAAGCAACATGAAATTAAAAAACTCAATGGTAATGTCAACATTATGATAGCCGAAGAAAATATGTTTCTCGAGATTTGAAAATTCATATCAAATTAATAAAATTATTACTGTAATCTTGCTCAATCATCGTACGATCAGCTTCTTGGATTTCTTTATTGAAGAATTCCTCTAACTTCTTTTTATCCAAACCAAATGACATAATACTTGTATAACTCTCCAAATATACACGAGAACATTTCTGTATAGCAGCCACTCCTTTCATTGTTATATCATCAACATTACCCAAACCCAAACCAATTAAATATAACATTGCAGTAAAATCCCAATAAATCTGAAGAAATATATTTATCGCATGCTTTTAACGATGCAAAATTGACTGATTCAATTTGATCAATGCTTACTATTCATATATCCCTACGCTGATCCTATTAAAAATATTTAAGATACTGTTCAATTGCTTGCTAAAGATGCTAAATATTAGAAAGAAATTCATGTATTAATCAAATTGATATGAGTATATCAACACTGCAGGATACGATAAACTGGGCATACTTCACTGTATTCTCTATATCACCAAAAATGTAATCATCAATAAATCCATTTAAAAATAACAAAGACATATATGTAAAAACCAAGTCGATATATTATAAATCATACAAAAGTCTCATTTCCACGTAAAATTACTACTATTATTATTATTGGAAACTTATCTTCATCTTTTTTCTTGTTATAATCCAAAACGTCAAGCTCAACAATCTCTAAGTACACCCGCGTCATATTCCTTTGAATACATCCGTACTAATTTTCACTATTCAAACTAACCAAAAACAATTGATTCCATTCATAATCTATGAGATAAATGATAAAAATTAGTTTTAATCTTCATTAATTTCACGTGTGAATTAAGAAGTAAGTGAAATATGACGATCGACTGCAGGATGTAACAAACAACATGTAACATTTAGATAATCAATTTATTAATCATTAGGAAGACATTGCAACTATAATGACACTGCGAACAAAACTCATTCTCTTTCGTTGCACGTATTCTGACCTAAATTTCTGCACGTATGTCAGCTCAATTCTTCCTCTTGCACGTATTGTACAACTATACAGTAAGTCACATAAATTTCCAATCACGTCTTCGATTACTACGCAATTCTAGCCAAGATTTTATGCATTCTTGATTAATACGTAATTCTAGCAAAATTTTACGAATTTTTTATTTGTGTATGTAATTTTAACAACACTGCTCAATTATTTATTGTAATATGTGCAAAATGATGTATGTCACTAAATCATGCAAGAAAACTATGAAATCACCTAATCTAAAATAACGACATATTTATTGTTAGCAAGAGGAAAAATACAACATAAAACATGAGGAAACTCCCAATTTCAGGATAACTTGGAACTACTTGCTCGGAATACCTCAAATATTTATTAGTTCTAGATCGTTCTGAACTTGATGTATTCGATTTACACTTTAGAAAAATTTTTGGATTACAAAAAATGACTTGTAAATGACCGAATGTGAGCTCGACACAATAAAATTTTCAAAAAGAAAAAATGTTATTGTTTCGTTTTCTCATCGGAACAATCATAAATGGAACAAAAGTTCTTATTAATTTTTTGCTTACAAAGAAAGAGACTCTGAGAGTGAAGACATAACAATAATAAGATTTCCTAAAATAACACTATTTTATTCGAATCTTTAAAACGATGACTAAATCACTGAATTTTATCAGCTAATCTACCGCTTCTTTCAAAATCATGTCGTCGAATTAACTGAACAATAATTCCCGTATTGATTATTAGGAAGAGCAATGAAGAAATCCAAATAAAAAAAAACGTATTCACGCCTTGAAATTCAAATAAGTAGGCAGAATAAAGCCAAAAAGCTTGCCCCACAAACCATAAAATTATTATATATATTGCTTTCGTTGTTGAAATCTGCAAAACAGAAGAAGTTTAATAAAACTTCTCACTTAAAAATAAATCATAAATTTTGTCTTCGGTAAAATTAGTTAACTACAAACTCATTCAAATGCCCCAACTTACATTACAGCGATACAAACTTGGGAATAGATATTAAAACTAACTTTGATACTTCGTTGAGCAATCGGTAGTAAACAAATGTACCAGATGAAATATTGACTAGTACATACTTTATTAAACGAAACAAATGCAGCTGTAGTAATTAGCCAACAAAATGGGAGATCATCATGATATCTGCAAGGTTCTATACTTAATTTTTTAAAACTGCATTATGTTTGAAATATAAAAAACATTAAATAAGTTTGTATTCAGATAAATCACAATTTTCCGGAGAAAAAGGACAAGCCTTGCCTCACTCATTAACCTCAACGTGAGCAATACTCTATTTCATTTATTATTGTAGATACGAAAAATAAAGCTTTCCAGTACTGTTGCGATTTATCAGAACATGCTAGGATTAAATGCACACTAACATCTTAACGTAATATCGATGTTGCTAATAAAAATATCAAACTAGCTAAACATTAAAATTTGTAGAAGGTTAAGTTACAATAAAACTGTTGATAAGAAACACACCTGAAAGCAAGCCAAATAATGAGTGAAGCTTGGGGTATGAAAGCACAAAAACTTATAAGCTGTGACAGCTGTGTATTGCTGGCTGTCAAATACAATAAATAAAAGTAAGGTGAAAAATTATGTCGCGTATCACTACGATGCAGATGATAAAGTAATGCTTCGTTAACGTAAGGCACACCATAAAGCATATAACATATGACCACTAATGCCAGTAAACTAGAAGAAAATATCTGAAATAAGTGGAATCAAAGTAGATATAATACTGATAATTTAAACCATAACCTAATAAAAGTCGCCAGGGAAATATATTAATGACAATGGAAGATCATAAAGTTAGAACATTTTTGATTTTTGTCTCGCACCATATGTATCTGAAAATTTCGCCTTGCATCATATGAATCTAAAGAATAGGTTCTAAGCATAGATACCTATGAGACGCATACTACTATGTCTTATTTTATAAATAGAAAAGATTTTGAATATAAATGTTCTTAAAATAACTGATGAAATGTTTAACATACCAATGAAAAAATATATCCTTTTGCATTTGAAACCAACCGTTTGCCGTAATCAATCCATCCAGTTGATAAAGAGACACTGGACAACGAGAGGAAAATGGAAGGTAAATAAATAATTGGATATAATTTTAAGTGTACTGCTAGCAATCCATAAATTAAAGCTGCCGCACACCACTAAAAATATTTTGCTTTCCTAGTGATAATAATGCTGCATTTTACTTTCTCTGTTACTTTCGCCGTCTTAATGATCGCTTTTTCTGGCTGTCACACACAAACCTGAATACGCTCGGATTTTCCACTGTTTATAAAATATTAATGCTGCTATTCACTGATCAGCAATCGATATTGATAAGGAAGAACGTTTAATTATCAGGTATCTCGCAATCATAATCACTTTTTTTTTCGTTCCATTCTTTCACTCTTTACCCTTCGCTCTCTATTTAACAACACTTCACAATCTGAGTCTACACACTAAGAAAAAAGATTAAAAAACTGTTTTGAATGCTTTAAAGATATCACCTGATTCCGCATAAGTAAATACAAAGTCCACAGGACAGCAGCACAGACAAGCACATCAGCATTACCTCTCGATGATATAATAGAGGTTAATGGATTTGCAAGCCAAAATAGTACTACAATTTTCTTCATTCTTGACTCATTTTCGTCCTATAAAAATATTTAAAAAACTGACTGAAGAAATAAGAGTTGAACTAGAAAAATTAAAATTAGATTGTTCTGAGAGAAGAAATTACTGATTTCAGAAATTCCGCAGTGTTATAGCTATGAGCAATGCTCTAACTCATGACTCTAATGCACCACAAGAAAAAATGAAAAAACAAGAAATCCAAACATCACACAAAACTTTAGCTATTTTGCTTCCAACCTCATGGAGACTTCAATTTATTAACCTTACGTGTTGCCCTGCTATATGCTGATAATTCGAAATACAGAAAACCAATTGCCACATCTACAGCACAAAATAAAATCTTCCCTGCAAATTCAGTGTAATATTTTGATTTTTATAAATATATTTGTTCAATAACAACCATTTATTTGTATAAATTACTTGTCATTCTTTTTATGAAAGTAAAATTGTTTCCGGTAAGAAGCTCCACTACTGTTCAACGATCTCGTTCTACCGATATCACAAGTAATGTACTGCCAGATACTCTACTCGCGAACGTCACACACTCTTTCGGTATGTTCCATATATACCGCGAAAAAATTGAAATGCAAAGTGATTTGGCAACATTCTAACTTAATCATATTCCATAAAGATATCGTATAGTTGACTGCATGTAGAAAATGAATTTCTCACAATTCCTATACATCGAGAGATGTAAAGATATTATATTGATACTATTATCACTGTGAAATAGGGATATTCATTTCATAAGTGACTATACGTATATCAAGACCTTTCTAATCAGTATTTTACTAATTCTTCCTCTACAATTCATTAAAATTTTCAATATGACGGCTTTATTTTAACAGTATCCGATTCTTTTCAGCATATTTTTATTTTAGAATTACTTGAATACTCACCAAAGTCAGGCCACTTTACCACTGGCATTAATAACCAAGCCAACAGTGGAGTATAACGATATGTTGCTCTTTTATATGGCGATTGTCCACGAAAAATGTACTTCGCTGCATCCGAATAAACTTTATAATCAATATCGGTAAATCGCACCTTGAAATTTTTGAAATTTTAAATTTTGCTCTCAACTATTTTTCAAAAAATTAGCAGATTTTTTTTTCAATTAAGTTACAGTGAAATAATGTCTAACATGTCGATAAGTAAAATCATCGCCGTATACGTGAATCATATCTTTGCCCTTCACTGTAGACATAAAACTCCTTTTTTCTAAATGATAATCTAACCCTGTAACGACCACTAACTTTTACAGTATAAACTACTTTCGAATATCTCCAAAAGGATAATTTCTTTTTGTTACTCTAACCACATTTCTTCCTTCTTCTGTTTATATTTCAATAACTAATTTACCAACACATATCATTTTATTCCAAAATTATATCAGTCGATAATTGCGTCTCCTTTAAAGCATAACAAAAATTCATCTCATGTATCCATTTGGACCAAAAGTTCATTTCATTTTAGCTTATATAAGAGAACCACTTAATATCATTTCACATTAACAGAATTCATTTAACCATTTCAAAGATCAAAGCGCAAGCGCTGGAGTGTTCATCACAGTATCAATCGTAAAATTTTCAATTTATATCAAAATACAAAATCTAACCTCAAACAAGTAATCATGTATATGCCCATAGTATACCAAAATAATACGATATAAAAACGAAAGCAATAAAATTTGCTTCCATTTCCATATATTTTCCGGTCTTTTAACACTTTCCAATGTTCGTTTACCGCTTCTCTTCCACTCTTTCACTTTCATTTTTTTCCACGAGAAATTTAGCTTTAGCTTACGTGATGTATGTAATGATGTATAGCCAATTCATCTGTCTAAATTTATTTAATAATTGCAAATTTCATGTAATTCACACACAAAAAAAGAGTCCAGTTAACAGATCTTAATCATTTCTCATCGTTCAACTCCCACACAAATACAACTTCCACCGAACAATTCCAAAAAGCACCCACAACCCATGCATTCTCGAAATGATAATCCAACACAACGCATCTCGTAAATCAGATGTACAGAATGCAGAAGATCGCTTCGAGAATTCAAACATTCATTTAAGCTTGATTTAATTTTTTATAAATTAGATGTGACCATTTTCCATGATCGATTGGATGATGCTTTGACCTTCAGATGTAAGACGCTCTGTGACCCCACAGGTAGCATACACGTTATGAACGAACGATTAGAATGCTTTGATCGGGACAGATATTATAGCTACGGTAATATACGGGAATTTTAATTTTTCTACATTTTGGGTTTCTACCGTTTCATTTGTACCAAGCTAATTGTTCAGTCTTGAGATCATTGTAGAAATCATCGGAATTTTCTTCCAGACATTCTTGTAAAATTTTCAATGTTTCGAGAACTTATTCGCAATCTTTTCATTTCAATTTCTAGAACATTTTTTTCCCAACTTTCTTCGTTCGTTCTTCATTTCTTAAATTTCACTTGAAATTCTTTTAATTAACAAAATGAGAGCTGTCAAAAAAAAACTATTGAAATTCAGGGAAAATATTGAAAGTACAAGAAAGTATTTGTTAAAGTTGAAATAAAATTTATCTAACAAAGTTTAATTTTTATGATTAAACTGGATGATAATTTGTGATGTGATAAATTGTATAAATAACTGCTAGACGATCAGTGATTAACCGTTCCCTTCATTTCTTATATATTTATATGATTAATCATTGACTTTATTCAATTTTATATGTCTGAATGATTTGCCATTTGTTTATCTATTTCGTTTCATCTGTTAACTGATTACATCATTCTCGTTCATCCATCGATGACTGAGATCCTTCTTTTTTTTTTTTTGAAGTACGAAATTGTCTGCCACACTGTTCAACACCCTTCAACAGGAACAGTATGTATCGTATAACTCATTTTTCTGAGAAGTCGTCAGTCTGGAAGTTAGACCATCCGTATTAACAGTAAACCATCAGCATTTTCCTGCTACGTAATTACCTACTGATTGGAGCTGTAACTCAATCAATTCTTTTCAAGTCCTATTCAAACCTAGAAATGATTATTTTAATCTCAGTAATCAAAAAATCTTTGTCACTATAATTCTGATTGTGTTACTGTTAATCTTCCACGCAATATAAATCTGCACAATAATTTTATCCGTGAAACAACAAACTATTTAATCAAAAAATTTTCACGACAATAATTCCAAAATAATATTAACAAATATGGCACAATATTGAATAGGAACTGAATAACATCAAATACGATATAATTATATGGCAAAATATAAAAAATTTTCAAATTATATCAATCAATGACGTTTCAAGAACGGAAAAATACAGAATTCTTGGAATAGCGTAAAATTTTCGGAAAAAAAATTTTTTTTTAATATAAAAGTTACTTAAGGAAAAAATAATAATTTGGGAATTTATGCACTGAGGATAAGTTATTTAGTAATTAAACAAGTAATCAATTAATTAACCAGCAACCAGTTAAATAAGAAACATCTAATCACCAATTAATATCAGATATTCTATTCTTTCGTAGTTGACGTTTCCAAGTCAATATTTGACTGTACATCAACGCCTCGAACAAATAGCACTTTTTTCAATTCATTAGACATATCGTTTAAAAAATTCAAATATTTCCGAAAACGTTCCAAATGTACCGGTGGTTCTGGCATATTCATCAATACGAGAACAGCATCCGAACTGCGTTTCAGAATCTCCTTATTCAATTGTCGAGCTCTTTGCTGCAAAAATACGAGCTGAACGAATTTATATCTCACTTCATAATTATCAATATAGATTAAATTTAAATTTTGTAAATTTGACTTTAATCTCTCAAATTTCATGCTTTTCGCTTCTCACTATAATTTACCATTTCTTTATCAGTTTAGATTTTGGACAATTCTGAATTATTCTTAATGAAAAAATACTGCTGAACTTTACTTGCCACAATACTATTATGCATCAAAGAAATTAACGAGAAAAAATTTATAGTTTAAAATGAAATGAAAAATTATATGCTTGTATATGACATTAAGCTAAAATTTAATATCAAACATATTATCCAAATGTTTGACATCAAACCAGTTTACACTATCAGTATTTCTAAAGATCTTTTAACAATTTTATTGCTAATAGTTAATTTCTATTTCTACCATTAAAAATTACCTGTTGTTCGTTCATTTTCATTAGGGAGTTACCTCTTACTGAGCTTGTAATTACCCCATGAAATCCGCTGTCTATAGCATTTTGTACTGGCATCCCATCAGGTCTTAAAATCAATTTCATCTTATTATTTGCTTATTTATCAGATATTTTTTAAAAACAACTATCATCGATGCTTAGATTACACTTGAAAGTATAGTTAAGTTAGTTAAATTATAGTTAAATTTAGTTAAATTAAAACTTAAAATATAATCCGGATTTCGAAACAATCATCTACGCACAAAATTTGTTTAAATTTCTCCTTTTTAATGCTATCTTTTAATTCCATAATAAGCAATCTTTAAGTCTGCTTATTTCACTAATAAATTTCCTCCTAAGGGAATGATTCAATATGATGCAAGTAAGCAAAAAGTATAATTTCCTGATATCAAAATGTTATTAAATAGAAGAAACTACATATCTGATACACAATATATTGTATTTAATTTGTTATCGTAATTTTTATCGCTTGTAAAAATACCGTTTCCCATATTATTACATTCCATGAGGAAATATTAACAAAATTCATTTTTAATTATCTCACTATTTGCATCTAAAATCAATTACTCGAAATTTAATCATTATCTGATATTGTTATTTGGCAAAGTAATCATTCAAAAATGATTTCTCACATTCCAATTAATCGTTGAAAATATGTAAACCACGATTTATTAACCGTTTTACAATATCTTCGTTTTATTTGTAATGATCGTAGTTGTATGTAATCTGATATAATCCAAGGCTGCAAATGGTTTATGAATTTTTTCAAATTAAATTTTTATAAAGAAAAAAACAGCAAATTTTATTTAATGAATTTTAAATCATTATTTCTCGAACATTGAACAGTCATCATTTTTGATTTCACCCTAAAAATAAGCTTCTCACTGATGATAATTTTTGCAAAGGAATAAAGTTTGTCAAAATCGTTAAAAGTCGTAAAATATAATATAATTAATAACAAAGTCATTTTTCAACACAAATAAATAAATTAAATGTATGAATTAATTGAATAAGTTGACAGTTAAAACGTAGTAAATAATGAAGTCAGAGGAATATAAATGAATCAAATAGTTTGATTTTGAAAAGCAAAAGCTAACGTCAGCTCGTATAAATTCAATTTTATATATTAAATAGTGATTATCGATTAGCCATAGAACAAGGGCTTTTTCAGTTTGCTTGATATTATCTTCGATATCCACCACAACAAATAGACGTAATCTTGCTTTACGCCAAATTTTGTGCTTTTTCAACATTTTTGCAACCATTAACAGTACATCACCATTATCGATAATCCACCAAATATCAATCGTTTTATTTGATTGCACTGGCTATGAAACGATTAATTAATGATAAGTTTACAAGCTTATGTCGTTAATCTGTTAATCAATAAATTTTTATACAGCTTTCTGAGAGTTTCAAAAAGTGAACATAGTTTGACTTAACAAATTGACTTATAATAAATCAAAAAATACATTAAACAATGTTTGCTATCTGAAATATACAGAAATTAAAAAAAATTCATTTACTCAGAACTTTAAATGAAATAGTCAGTTTAGATTACCGGTATTTTCAGTGGAAAAATACCCTTAACAACGACCAAATTACAGTGCTGAACACAAACACGATGCATATGATAATGATAAAGTAATGAGTCAGGTAAACCGCTTAAAGCTGCTCTGAAACAAGCAGTATGACGATATGAAAAATTAAATGTGAAAATATTAAATTAAAATTTTGCAAAAATTTGGATAAAATTTTGGGAATTTTAAAGTAAAATTAGATTAATGATAGTGTAAATTAACTCTGATGGATATTCTATCATAACTGTATTCGATTGAAAAACTCCTAAACCACAGCAACTTGCCAACGCAGATGCGATCGAATGCAGAGAACTGATCTGAAAATTGATTGATTGTAAGGTTTTTAATTACTTGATTCAGATAGTTTAAAATATAAGATTTGCGTCCCAATGAATTGCAACCACTAGCCAGAACAATTAAATCTATTCTTACATATTATGTAATATCATGATAAATCTTCATGATCTTAACAAATATCTTTCTCTTCAAAAATCAGGAATCAATTTTTGACCGACAATATTTTGTGGTCGATATTTGTTCAACAATTATTATCAATAACATACTTTTTGATATTTAAATTGTGTTGCATAGCCAGATAAATCGATATAATCCATATATTGTCGTGCTGTTCGCACGTCTTCGGAACCGATATTTTCTTGATCGCCCGTATCACGAATAAGTGATAAACAAAGTGCGCTACGATCTGAGATATGCAAATATTTTTGGTAATAATCGATTGTAATGGAAGAGTGAAATTTTTATATGAACCAAAATTTCGTCTATAGAACTTTGATCAACCAAATAATAGCTCTGTTCTAAGATTCAATTTGATCTAAATTAAACAAAGGAAAAAAACTAGATAATGTGTGTGACATACTCCAGGCATATTATTACTCTTATAGAGAAGAGTTACTCTTCTACAGCAAAACATAATTGTTATCAATTAAGGCTTAGTAGGCTTTTTCTAGCTTAGCAGTAAATCGTTCTAAATCTTCCACGAAACAAATCATTTCCTCCATTTTCTTCCCTTCCCTTCTTGCTTTTATTTCGGAAAAAAAAAAATGAACCAAGTTAAATTATACTTTGTGATAAAATTTTAGCCATTCGTAGAAGATTATCGCAAGGTGCGGGAAATCGTGTAAAAACGATGCAACGAGGCTTTGAATAAAATTCTTCGACCAGTCTTGAAAAGTTATAAGCTCATATATTTTACAGGGCACAATAATCATTATTACTAATTTCAATTAAAGTCTCGTAGACTTCTTGACAAAGATCAGTTAACTTCAGACTATCTTTTCTTGTACAGAAGAATTTTGAATTCTAAAGTGCCAAATGATATTAGCTTATTTTATTCTCAGTGCTACAATCGATCGATGATTTTTCCATTTATTTGTGAGTATGAGCGAAATTTTTAATGATATGGAAGAGAATGATATTTTGAATTTTTAGAAAAGAAAAAATAAATGCTAAGGAATATACCCGGCATTAGTTTTCTTAGTTGATGAATACAGCAACATGTTAGCGATATCAACAACAATTGCATATGGAGTATCACGACGGAATCGTTTCCGGTGTAGCGGAAATATTACATAAATCATAATTGCAATGGTACTTACTATCACACCAACCAATGGCTTACAGCCATAAAGCATTATAGCACAAGCAAAAATACCAAGCATGGCAAAAAATGATCGAAAGAACCGAAATGTTGGATGGAAACTGAAATATTAAAAAATTAAATGGCAGTAATGTGAGAGAATTGCCGCCGTTATTCTTTGATAAAAATATATGTAAGAAAAAATTCTTCCAAATGATATTGAAAGAAAGCTATACCATTACTGTCAGAATTATTTATCATTTAGGCAAATTTGTCACCATCACTTTCTAAGAATCTGAATTGCTACTACACCGAATGAAGAGTTTCCCGGATTAAATTGAGCAAGCAATAGCAGTGAGTATTTATATAAAATGCTTCTGAATTGATTTTTTTTTTTTATTAACCATAAATTGGTACACGAATGAAAGCAGCTAAATTATTATTCACTTAATTGTTATAAGCAATGATAACACTTGAAGCACTCAAATTTAAAAATTATATTTGTTGAAAAATTTTCGAATTTGCCATAATACCTGGGAAAATTCAGTGTTGAGCAAATGATTGTGCCAATATTAATTACAATTAGTGCAACAAGCATACAACTACTTGCAATAACCAATATGTAATCCAAATTGTTGACAAACAAATATGGCAAAATGAGAAAAGCTGTTATCGCAATAGCAGCTAATTTTCGCCGTTTGCTAGTTCGTTGATAGAAAAATCGCGGAATCGGAATGGTATGACTGGTAATGATACTGAGCAATAAACTTTTAGCCGCTTGAAAAAAATCAGAAGATCCAGAAATTAAAGAAAAATGAATGAATCATTTATTGATAAATTATGCAAAATACGGATTGTAATTAATTCTCAACCATAATTAATGAACAGTGATCGATGGTCACACTACTTTGATATACAATATGATGATAAAAATATTTGGAGTACAGGTGGAAAGACCAATTCAATTTTTCTTATTGTAGTTATTTTATTGAAAGAATTAAATTGTGAATACTGTTGAAACAATGATTTAACTGATAACTTACCATTAACTAAGTCGTCTTTAACTTTTTTAATTAGTAAATTTGCTAGTCCATTTTATTTGATCAAAAAATTCAAAACTTATTTTAATAACTTAGTACTGTTAACGACTGTTATATTTTTTACACTTTTACTTATGCATTAACTCTTCAATATTATTGAGTGATAATTTTTTTAGTGATTGCTTTCATCGTTTCTTCCTTTCTCATATTATTTCTTCCAGCTTAATTTATACAATTTGCTATCAACAAAAGTATATTTATTGCAAAAATTTTCGAAAACTTTATTAATCAAATGTTTTTTACATGTAATTCTACAATTTGAGAAAAGAAGGAAAGTTTTGATTTTCACTGACAACTTTCAATTAAAATGATTTAATTTTTTAAAAAATCTAAACAATAAGTGAGTAATTTCGAAGTGGATAAGGTAACTTACTATACAAACTCTGAATTGCAGCAACAATTGACATAAGCATTAAGCCAACGATAAGAACCATTGGATTAGAAATCTGGAACAAATAATGATGTTTTAAAAATTATTTTATTCAATTAGTACTTGATAAAATAAAACTAACTGACGTAATAAGTAGTGAAAATGAAGTGATAGAAATTAAATGAAATGATAATAACCGTAAAGATAATCGGAAAACTCGGATAGGTTCCACGTCCATATTTATCAAGCAATAAATGACGCTCTATGCCAAGTGCCAATGAACAGACTAATATTGTTATCAACTATAATATACTACGAATAATAATATTTTTTTAAATTGAAAAAATTTTGAAACTTCTCAGAATGTTGAAAAGCAAAAAATTCCATTACTTACAAAAAGCATTGTCAATAAACAGCTGAAAATTCCGGTAGGAATATTTTTGGTTGGTGATTTTAGCATTGATGAAATGTTAATACCACAAATACTACCCGTAAATAACGGTAACAGAAGAAGTGAGCAACCGATAATTGATGAAAATTTTGCATTACCCTAAAAGAAAAATAGTTTTTGAAATTTTTTTTCATGCAGAAATCTGCAAATTTCAAAAATTCATACAAGCATGAACTCATTAAATTGTTGCTTTTTTCCATGTTTGTTTAGGATAAATTTAATCTAATTGTTTAAGATAAAGAAATCAGAGATCAGTTGGACTTTAACTATATTAATAAGTGGAACTGTGAAGATATTTCCTCTACTGCATACGACAAAACATTCAATTTACCAAATTTTTAAATTTTATCTAATTTCAGAAATTATAGAGAAGATATAATTAGTGCCATCTATTTCACCTTTCTTCTTCATCTCATTTCATGTCGAGTGTTTTAATGAAAATTAAAATTTCACTAACACTGGTGAAGATACCCTCAAAAAAATACGTATCGTAAATAATATCACGCCAATCAAAATTATTTATATTGCTAATATCAATGATATGATTTTGCAGATTTGATTTAATTGCTTTGAAATTCCATTCGAATATTTTTAAACGAAAATTGCTGAATTGACAATCGTATATGTTATCGGAGGTACAATTCATCGTATAAAACGGATATCTAAAGTAGGGAATATAATATTTCCCGGGAATTAGCTAAGCAGCAAAGAATGAAGATTTAAAATAAAGAAAAGTGAAATAAAGTAAGATGAATTCGTAATCTTTTTGGACTAGAATGTGAAAATGACTTTTCGATTAGGTCAAACAGTTTATTAAGTAAGTTAACTTATTTGGAATTCGAAAGTGATAGGCAACTTAGGAAAGGATCGAAATCATTTTGCGATTTTTATTTCACTTAAAATTACTTTAATATGATTTACTTATCAAAATGTTTTAAATGGGCGGCAGATAAAAAATTTTTCACTTAATGAGATGGAATTCAAAAGAGTTATGAAAGAATGGAAGCAGAAAAAATGCATCACTTCTAGTTCATTTTTTTTTAATCGGGAAAAAGAGCTAATTAAATGCTAAAAATGAAGTTAAATTGAAATAAAAAAAATTTTCAAGAAGCAACGAATACTAAAACTATGAAAAAGTCAAAATGTTATAAAAATATGGTAAGGAATAGCAAAAAAATGGATCAACTTGTTAATATGAATTTGTTAATTCATGGCTTAATAACACTTTCATGTTCCCTTCACCTAAATCATTTATCAAATTTGGCTGCCACTTTCTACTTTTTTTCCGACCAGACAATCGATTTAGTTACTACTTATTGATTATATTTTAAGGAAAGTATTTGCATTTTGCTCATTAGAAAAAATATTAATTGATAAATAAATTTCGTGATTAAAATATTTTGGACGAAATAATATTTATAATTTTACTCGCAGAAATGTTTCAAAACTGATGACGAAATTGTCGCATTTATTGGCGGTATTGTTGTATAATTCAGCGGTAGATGAAGTAGCACTGGAACTTGATCATAATAACGATCTTCTGAAAAATTTATTTTTAAATTAATTTTTGCTCTTTTTTGAGGTAAAAAAATATTTATGATGTTGATATATATTTGGATGTGACAGGTGGAAAAATTTGAAGTTTTTTCTCTTCACTTCCTTTGTTTACATTAATTGTTTGTAAAATATTAAATAATTCAAATTCTGTTATTAGCAATCAATCAATTCGATCAATTAATCTCAGCATGTAATTGTAAGATTCAAATCTAATATTACTCATTAAAAAAACAGACCAATGCATTGTATAAATAAAATTATACGGAAAAACCGAAACAAACTGATACAAACACAAGATTATATTTTATAGCATATATTAAAAAAAAGACATAGGTCACTTGGAATTAATCCAATTGGTTCATGAATGCATCTCAGATCAACGCTCTGCTGAATGATCTTCATAGTAGCTGAGATGAAAATTCCAGCAAGTAAAATAACAAATGTTGTAAAAGGTATCCAACAAATCCCTGAAAGATATGATATATTTTTTGTGATTGATAAAATTATTGATTCGTTTTTATTGATAAGACAAGATAAATCTAGTCTTTTTTACTGATTAGATCTGCAATAAGATAACATTATTGATTAAATCTATACATCAAACTGCTTTTTATTGCTTTACTATCATTTTGATATTTATTTAACTAAAGTGAGTTAGTTATACTGTAATTATTGAGTACAGTATACTATATTTAGGACGATAATGATGTTACAAAATTTAACAATTGTTTCTGATTTATTAGTAATATTATGTGAGGTAATTTCCTTTGTTAATAATACTCATCATTTCTAAAGATTTTGAGCTAAGCAGTAAATATGAGAGAGGTAAAAAAGAGATTTCGTCTTTTTCAAGTTGTCACTTGAAAAGAATTCTTACATTTGATGACTCTTTTTCCAAAACAATTAAACAAAGTTATGAGAATCAAAAAAGCGGTAAATAAGATGAGATGCATATAATATGGTTTCTCATATAGTTTTTGAGTAGCATCGTAATCCTAAAACAGAAGAAAAAAGAAAACTTTTTAATTTAAAAATTCGCTAATCAGTTCAGTTTAAATTTCAAAAATTACCGAATTAGTTTTTGCAAAATGAATGAATAGTAAAGTGTTTATGATGATTGGTAATGAAAAGTAATTTAGTCATAACAAGTGTAATTAACTTGCAATAGTGTTTAGAGAGAAGAATCATTATTGTAAACATTTATTTTCTATAATTTCTTTAAAAACAATTTCTTCAAAATTAAAGTATAGAATGAATTTTTATTTTGTTTTTATAGCTGTCTGAAGCAATATTATCAAATTTCATTTTGCAGCAAATACTGAAAAAGAAAAGAAATGCAATCATCAGTTCAGATAAGTAGAAAAATATTTTACTAACTTCAAAAGTTATGATTAAAATTAGAAATGAATTACAAATATGCTTAATCAATTATTTTATATTATAGCAATTACCAAAAACAAGAAGAAAGATCACCATTAATTTAAATAAGTAAGAAGCAAGTTTATAAACTTTTGCGTCATTCTTTCCAAGAAATAAAATTTAAATTTACATATGAAAATAGACAAAAATTTTCACCAAACTAACATTTTCAAGTGCTCGCATTATTAAATTTGGCTCCACTGGAGTTGGCTTCAGAATATATTGCTGAATTAGCTCAACACATATTGTTAAGCATATTCCAGTAAAACCGCAGTTTGCTAGGCAAAGCATCACTCCAGCTGTGAAATAAAATTTGATTTTTTAAATAATCTCTGATGAAACTGGCTGAAATTTGACACTGAACTTTTTTAATTGCTAATTAACTCCCAATAAAATCATAAGAATTAATTAGCAATTAAGAAAGCCTCAGTGGTGTTTTATTGGCAATAATTACAGAAAAACAAATCTATTATGTAATGTGCTCAGTTATTTCTCACATTCATTTGCATTTGTATGTTCAATACTTTCCTCCGCGTAAATGATGTGGAATATAATTATGAAATATATATAGTGTTATCAGATTTTAATTTTCATATAACATCAAATTTTGATTATTGACTTAACAGCATGTATTAAAATTAGGTGCATATATTAAAATTAGGTGGTATATATTAAAATAAGGTGTACATAGCACTACAAAAAAGAGCTTAATTCATTTTACACTTTCCTTAAATTTTTTTATTAGTCGCATAAATTACTCGTTATTCTCTAATTAATCATCAAACACTAGCTAATTAATTATTAAAACAACTGTACTAATTTGCTTACCAACAAGCGCCACTCGATTACCCAAACTGTAAGCAATTGTAGTAAATGGACCACCATATAAACGATCACTTCCGTTTGTTGCAATTGCTGCGATGGAAAATGATGAGCATAAAATCTAAATATAATATAAATGTATTCATTTCTCCTTGCACACCTCACATAATAATCTAATTAATTCAAAAGTTTATATCTCGTAAGTTATACTTTCTATATATAAATTATTTATTATGCATATAATGCAATGAATAAATTAAACAGCCATTTTTGAAAATCATAATTTAATATTGTTAGTAATTTCGAGATTAGAGAAAAACTTTTAAATTAAAATGTGCGAAATTTCGAAATTAGTTTAAAAGATCGAAAGTGAATGAAATGCTTAGGAAAGTACCGCTGTAAAGACGAGAAAAATTGCAAATGCTGTTAGACTTAAGCTGAGAATACCAACAATCCATGGTAAACGGAGAAAAATTACACCAAGCAAAAGAATATTTTGCATATAACTAATATAAACACCCGAAAAAATGCCTAATGTTCCGCGACCGTACAATGGATTGTCATCCTGGAAATTATTTCAATGATGATGATGATGATGATGATGATGAAAACGTTTCTTTCTCATAAATAACATGTTGTGATGATGATAAAAAGACATGAATCATGTAGTTGTGTTTCTTACTTGCACAAAAACAGTGTTAATAATACGTTGAATATTGCGCCCCATTGTAGACAAAATTTTCCGAAATGCAAATGAAGTAGGATTTGCAGCTGCAACAATTTGTGCTATGAATTCATCTATTTAATAAATTTGAAACTCAAAAAAAAAATGAACTAGCACAAATAACGAAATAAATTTGGCAATTGATAACGTATTGATATTATTATCTTCTAATTTTGATATCTTGCTGAACATGGATTGTTATTAAAGTGAGCTTTCTGATATCAACGTCATATTTCTTGTTTTCCGTCAACGTCATATTTCCTGTTTTCCGTCGACATCATATTTCTTGGTTAAGGAATCAAGAATTAATGGATATTAATGCAACAATTACAAAATATGTAGTAGAATGTCTAAAATCTAAAAAAACTTGACAACTTGACAGTAACAATGGAGAAATTCCCTCTCTCTCTCCCTTTTCTCTCTCCCTCTTCTCTCTCCCTCTTCTCTCTCCCT